TGTATTAAATTAGGATAATATGCACCAGTGTTTCATAAGGAAGATACATCACTTTGTTGAATTTCTTACATTCCAAGTTAAGCTTCATTAATCGTGCTGTTTTAAAAGGACATGTGAGCTTTGATTTAATAGTGCGATGCAGATAATGAGAAAAATTATTTATTCATTAGACAAATGGCCAACATGTTCCCTCATTTAACCAATTATTAATATTCTTAGAACTCATATATGTCTATATGTCTACTTATCTAGCTATCCATAGGTAACTAATACTTGAGAAATATGATCAGGAGTAGGTAAGGTTCGAAATTTTGTCAAGATTATGCCACACGTTATCAACAAATATGTATCAATTACGTGATCACTACAGCCCACATAGATCATATAACCAAGGTATCTCATTTATATCAAGATAGCTAGGTTTTTATTGGTTATAAGGAAAAAAGCCATATTTGATAAATATTGCATAAATTGCCTTTTAAAGACATATGACAAATTAGTTAATTGTGGCCGGAATAATTATTAATCAATACTTCATAAAATTGTAAGGGAATGAGAATTAAGAAAAGTCTTGTTGAAATAAAATGCACACAGCTGATTGTCACTTTTGTTAAAGCTCTCAAAACTCTTATCAGCAAAAAATTAATAAAATTTACATTAAATGCCTTTATAGAGTAAAGTGTTCTACACTCTTTTATAATTCTACAAAGCAAAGTAAATCTTTAGACGATTTTCAAACTAATTTAACCCGAATTGACATTGATAATGAAAGCAATATATTCTGAGATGCTCGATAAAAATAGGGTTTAAACTTAATAAGAGTAGTATTTTTGAGTGATTTTTTAGCATGGGACTATTAGGCAATAGTCTTGATTTTCAGAAGGTATTTTGCTTCCGAAATTTTTCATGGTTGCCGTGAAACGCACTTTTAGAATTAAAGTGTAGGCGAAGCATTTTTATTGTTTTTTTCAGTTGATCGAAGAATTGTGTAACACTTTGAAAATCAGTACGTTAGAAATTAAGTGTTCTTACAAAAATCTCGAAATTTCATTGATTTTTTTCTAAGATTACGCAGAGCTTTGAAGTTTTAAAAGGAAACGGACTTCTAGTTCTTATTTTTTATGGTTTTCTTAAAAGATTGCTCGTTTATCTATAATCCTTAATCCACATTTTTAGTAAAAAGTTACTGGCGAGTTAAAATAGTGTTTTGTAAGTTATCAACTATCATAATTTGCTTATCGGTTTTTCCCTGACTGTTTCAAATTCCCTCCTTCGGCTCATGAGCAATTTCTTGTTTCTCCTCCCTTTTCTTCCACCTTCTTCATTGAATTCTACCCTCTCGATCAAACATACTACCACCTTTATTGTTGCAAGGTTGCTGTCTTCTTCCTGTTTTTTTGAAAAATAAAATATAATTTTAGGAACTCAATTTTATTTCAATCGTGTAATAACGGGATTGGTACAGTCGGAAGGATCGCCATTTCGGTCTACTTTCTTTAGTTTATGTCAACTTTTTCTAGGCCGATATTTCAGGAGATATCATTTATGAACCAAAGGTAATCGCACAATATATCAGACGCAGTACTGCTGAAGCAAATAAAGAAATAAGTTCGTGAAGTAACTTGAACTTCTGACCTAAGATTTTTACATTTCTTTTGGTATTTCATCCAAAGAGTTACTTTTAAACAATCATTTCTAGTTTTATTGTTGTGTAGGTAATTTGTGCTTTTTTTTGCTGCTTACAGCAATCATAAATTCAAGTAGTTCATGAATCACCAGCTTTGGTTAGGCATTTTAATATCAGTATGAAATATTTTTAAAAGAATTTTTCCACGTTGCGTATTCCATTCTATTCCTACCCACTATCTACCATTTATTGATTATAATAAGGAAAAAATCCCACCCAACTGGGAAAAAGGAACAATCCACGAAGAGTATGGCGGATGAATGCTAGACTTGAGTCGAGATTAACTCAGTATTAAGGTGACATGGGTGATTCCCGGGATGTGCGATAGACTTACCTCCACGTGGTGCACCCTGGGCAACGTTTACTCATACGGCAAAAAAGTCAATTAACTGGCAGTTGACTTCTCACTTCAAACTACCATCACCTCACTTTATGTCATATTCGACTACTTCCATAGTACTTACCTCACCGTTTTTCTACCTTTGTGTCCGCCTCTTTTATACTTTTGAACACTCTTCTGTTCCCCCCCCTCTCGACTTTTTATTCACTTTGAAGTTCCTTCCTCTCTGTGTAATGGGCTAATGATAACTATCGAAAAGTCTGCCATTTGAAATAAATAAATAAACGGGTGATTCCCTTATCGGTAGCCTGGAGATGTCTACCTTACCCGCCCAGGTAGAATTCTTAAAGCTAGGCAGACTAGTTGGTGAAGCAGGTGTTGCTTCCATGATTCATCATCGGCAACCTAATCCACCCTCGCACTAGTATCAAAATCCTCTCATTCGCTGCGCACTATATATGGTCTGATTAATTCTCACTCACTGGGTCTGGCTGGGTTGTCTCCATGCTGACGCTTATGTGCGCATATATGCTGATTTCCATTATAATTATGAATTGAGTCGTCTTTTAGATTAATTTATGTGTGCAAACTGGTAACCCGTCACCAACTAAAATACTTTGAAATAGTGAACTTTGATTTACCTTTGTTACCACAGAGGGAATTCTAAATATGGCAAATTTGATGAAGCGGTGACGATTTCGATTGAAGTGGAATGAAATTTTCATTTACTGAATAAATATAGCAAGAAACCCCAACCCCCACTTAAAGTTCTTTAAATCTACAAAGCTTGATATAAAAGTTCTTATTGATCTTTTTATGTGAATAGATTTATCTACAAAAGTACATTGGGAAGTGTTTCGAATAACCTAAAAAGAATTGTGAAACTATTGGGTTGGCAACTAAGTCATTGTCGTTTTCGCTGACGGATTCACTCTATACTTTCTTTTGTTTTGTTAACGTGGCCAGAGCATCTAACCTATATTTTTTCTTACTGTATGGGCTTCTAGGTTAATTAGTAAAAATTTTTTTGTTTAGTTATTTAGTTTTGTTTTTATCCCAATTTAAAAATGAAAGAACAGGACGTGCACTTCCGACACATTTTATTGTATTACTTCCGAAAAGGCAAGAACGCATCGCAAGTACAAAAGAAGTTATGTGCCGTATATGGAGATGAAGCCTTAAAAGAAAGGCAGTGTTGAAATTGGTTTGAAAGATTTCGTTCCGGTGATTTTTCACTGAAAAATTCACAACGATCTGGCCGCCCAGTCGAAGTGGATGAAACCCATATCAAGGCCATTATCGATTCAAATCGTCACAGCACAACACGAGATATTGCAGAGAAGCTCAATGTGTCGCATACATGCATTGAAAAAAAAAATTAAAAACCCTTGGTTATGTCAAGAAACTTGATTTATGGATCCCTCACCAGTTAAAGGAAATTCATTTGACGCAACGGATTAGCATCTGTGATTCGCTACTGAAACGCAATGAGAATGATCCATTTCTGAAGAATCTAGTTACTGGCGACGAAAAGTGGATAGTTTATAACAACGTTACTCGCAAGAGATCATGGGTGAAGCAAGATCAGCCAGCCCAAACAGTATCAAAAGCAGAGATCCACCAAAAAAGATTATGCTGTCAGTCTGGTGGGGGGATCACAAAGGAATTTTGTATTTTGAACTCATGCCGCAGAACCAAACGATAAATTCAAATGTGTATGCTGAAGAACTCGAAAAACTGAAGGATGCAATTGAAGATAAGCGGCCGGCATTATCAAATCGGCGGAAGGGTGTTGTTTTCCATCATGATAACGCAAGCCCCCCCCCCACACATCTTTGGTTACTCGGCAAAAATTATTGGAACTGGGTTGGGATGTTTTGTCACACCCACCATACAGCCCTGACCTTGCGCCTTCGGATTACCATTTGTTTCGTTCCATGCAAAACTCTTTAAATGGTAAAATTTTTAACAACGCGGATGATGTCGGATCACACCTAATTCACTTTTTTAATAGCAAAGACCAGACATTTTACGAACGCGGAATTTTTACTCTGCCAGAACGATGGCAAAAGGTCATCGACAAGAACGGCCAATATCTAATTGAATAAAGTTATATTTTTAAACAAAAATTCCGAATTTGCCTTCTTATTTGAAATCGACAATGACTTAGTTGCCAACCTAATATTTCTGGAGAAAATGAAAATGAATGCAAACCTTTGCTCTTAAAAGGAAGCACTTAAATTGGAAAATAAGCTTCAGCCGAAACGCCTCAAAAATGTCAGTTGTTAATGATGAACTACACTAAACTCACTTGGAGTCTTTCAACTTCACTTTCCTTCTCTCTTGGGTATAAATTAATCTAAAAACAATGCAACACATAGTGGACAATCTTTCGCTAAAATGAGCTAAATTATAAGCTGCTAGGTGAATTTCGTGTTCATTAAAACCAAACAATATTTCATAATAATTTTATTTTTAAGTCACATTGATCAACCTGAACAGACATTGGTTATAAAATATACCTTCACAATGGTAAATAATTTCCAAATAACTGCAGATATGCATAATGAAACCTAATCATTGGTCTCCATTTGACCACTTACCTGCAGCTAATTCCCAATTGGGGAAATACTTCGTTACTTAAAATCGTCTCTTAACCAATAGATGTACACAAAGAATGGGAGAGTAAATTCCTTACCCACGTTGTATTTCATGAAGTGGGAGCTTGTGGAATGCGAAAATTTTGAAGTTAACATTAACGAATTTTTGTTCAGCTTCAAATTTAAAGCATACACTGTTTTTTACTTTTATTTATGGTGTCAAAATAGTTGAATTCACCATGAACCCAATTAGCAATGAAATTTTCCGCACACCTTTCATTAAATTTAAACCAAATTAACCTACTTCAAATCACTACGGCTGATTTAATTCGAATCCAATTTCATGTAATTTTGTGAACATAATTATATTAGAATGCGTTTCAGTCTTTGTAGACGGCATCAATCCGAAAGTGAAGCCATTTTAAAGATCTCAAATTCAACTCCTAGGACGAACATTGATGTTCTTGGTGGTGAATGCTTCCGATTTAACCATATTTTGATGACTAATGGTGGATTTCCCATTCAAATGTCATGCACTTATGTGGAACAGGGGATCTCATGTGGTTTCAAACACCATGGAGCAATTGACGCAATTTGGAGGAAACGAGATTCGTGTATATTCCCACCACTTAACGTTCTGATGTACGTGCGCTTTTATAAACGAGAGGAATTTATCACAATCGTTGTCTGTGAATCGAATGTACTTGATGAAGATTAATATGCTTGTCTAAACAATTTGTGGGGGTGGTCGGCTAATCATCAGAAACAAATGGAAAAGGTGCTTTTTCTAATTATATCGAGTAATGATCAAACGGCAAATTACTTCTCACATGAGCCTTTTAAAAGCTGTAGCATTAAAGACTGATTTTTCAAAAGCCTTTCGAGGCCTAACAAAGATGCTGAAGGAAATGATTATCTTAGTAATGGTAAACAATGTAGAAATAGAAGAAAATGTGCGTAATGGAGAAAGCTATTCGAAATGTTTTCACCTTCAAATGGGAATTTTGCGTTATTTATTCCAAATGAAGATAATTAGCCAATATGTAAAACCAGCTATCTCCTACTGTTTGAGCAGATTTCATTTAAAAAAAATTGTACTAATTCTATGTGCATCTCTATTCGCTGAAAATCACGACTATTGATTGCAAGGAAGTGCGGGTGTTTTTACTTAATGACTAGTAAGCTTTAATTTTTAAGTGGGAGGTGGGGCGCACTTTAGGCCAATCACCCCATGCCTGAGTTCACCCTTAAAAATAGTAAAATTAGTGAAATGGGTATATTCTTAACTTACCTGCATTTTGAAGATATGACATTTTCTGCACTTTGACAGTCTTTTCCCTATTTGATTTAGATCCGAAGGTTGTATTCGTCGAAGACTTTCCTCTACATTTTGTTTAGGTGGTTTGAAATATAGGAAGAGTGGGGGGGGTGCAATATCTTCTTTTCAAGCTTCCTGTATCCTTTACGATGAGTTTTAACCCTTTAACGACCTTAGGACTGTACGGGCCTCTTTCAAATATGTAACAGAAGACGATAGTGCCGTTTGAAATGCATTCAAGACGCCTGTAACCTTTGCCTGATACCCCCAAGACTCATCACGTCGGTGGCAATAGTCTGCTATGGGACATGCGTGAGTGCAGTTTGCGTGCATTTTTAAAAAATAATACGAACGTTAAAGGGTTAGGCTGAAATGGTCCGCTTTTGTGGCAATTAGTGATAATCTTTAAAAATAACAAAATCTTCAACCTCTTCTCTTTACAGCGTCCATATCAATCTGCATTAACTAGTAAGAACGATTAGAGGGGCTAGCGGTGTGCAAGAAATGATGGCAGATTGAAAAGGCCATTCCATCCCTTTTGGTATTGTTTTCTTAGTTCAGAGCGCTTTGTGTGGGCGGTGGTAAGGCATGCAGGAGCAACCATTAGGTAAACACGCTTTCTACAACCTCACTCATTGATTAAGGCAGACAGTCACCCCATAACATTAATAGGCATTTATCTATTATCTCTTACTTGGTATTGGGTTTGTATATTTATTAATAAATCTATATCATTGATTTGTCACGACTGTATAAGTCTAAATACACAGGAAGTAGTTATTTGAACATAATTTCCACATCAATCAAGGAACACTTGACTTTACATTTATATCCTCATTTGTCTGATCCTTTAGAATATGGATAAAAGCTCACTAAGGTTAATCCCATAAACTTCATATGCGGTTGGATTCAAACCCTTAGGCTGAAAGAAGCTTCGAAGGCAGCGACTAGACGTAAGTGAGTGCAAGCGATCTGTCGAAATAAACCATATTTTGGATGTATGGTATGTTTAGGAGAAAAAAGCCTGCGGTCTTCACCTAAATGTTAACAAAAAAAACTGATTCACCTTGAATTGCAAGACATTTTTCAGTTGGCAGTTGATATCAATTAAACTAATGTGCATTAATTGGGCGTCTGATAGATTATCGTCTGGTTATAATAGTTAAAGCTTAATTAATTAAAAGTGAAGGGAAATTTTTTTTTCAAAAGATCAAAAAGTTCTTCCTATGGAGCAATAGTCCCGTAGAAGGTTTACGAATTGCGTTTAACTTAATTAATCGTATGACGTAATAGAAATTTGGATTTAAATATCTGAATTTCCAGACAAATATTTTAGTGTTGTTTTTAAATAATATATATATATATATATATATAATTATATCAGAGGTAATTGTCTTGAAATGGAGAAATTAAGATGCATTTACTTTTTAAAAATGGCGTGTTTGCTTGAAGTAGTAAAGGTTATGCGTACTTTTCCTTACAATTGTGGTCTTAAGGAGTCAGATTAACTAATTAATTAAGATTACAGTCAAGCGTACTAATTGTATATAAAATAACATTAACCTGTTCACATGAGTTTAAGGGTACATTTCAGTGAGTAGAGGCCTTTTTTGGTAAATAAACACTCATGCCTAAATTCACTGGTTGCAAACACCCCAGTTGCTTTGGAATACCCATTTATAAGCAAAAAAAACTTGTAACGAGTTTTTTCATGAGATTCTATTTATGCGTGAAAATTAGCATAAAATGGTGGCATGAGATGAAGGGGGAGGTCGATCATAGGATCAATTTGGAGTCAGGATGGTAAGGGTCTTACTCCCTATGAACTCTTGAGCCGTTTAGGTTTGCACAGCCTAAAAAGAGATCATTTCGCTTTGTAATGTCCAACTGTTTTAAGATTTACTTTTTATGATTCCAATTCTGCGTTTCAGGAAAGGTTCTTGTCTGCAAAACTTAATGCATGGCCGGTTAATAGACAAATTTGCTTAAGTGGTTTGTCACGTCACTATCATTCTCTTATGGATTTTAACAGCTATGCCACATGTATAGACACTTAAAGGAATCCAAAGCTACGCAATAACGGTTTAATTATATTTTATAGATTGAAGTTGAGATTCGTTGCAAAAGCTGACTTCCTTAGAGAAATTATTTATGTGAATTAAACAAAGATAAATTTTCATGTTCTCGCATCGAAAACGCCAGTGTTTATTAAATTTCAAGCAATAACAACCTGCCATTGTAAATTCTCTTAAAATAAGAGCCCATCACCTGCCAACATGATGCGTGATCCGCCAAATTGTGTCTTTGAAAGTTATTTATATCAAATGGCAGGCGCTTTGATAATTATCATTAGCCCTGGAGCTGACTTCGGGGCTTCACAGAGAGGAGAAGGAACATCAGAGTGTCAAAAAGTCGAGAGGGGGAACAGAAGAGTGATTCACAGATGTAAAAGAGACAGACAGGCAGACACAAAGGCATAAAATAGGTAAGACGAGTACTGTGAAAGGGGTCGAATACGACATACAGCGGGGTCATGGCAGTTTGAAGTCAGAAGTCAACTGCCGATCAATAGACCTTTTTGCAAGTCAGAAGTCAACTGCCGATCAATAGACTTTTTTGTCTTTGAAGTCAGAAGTCAACTGCCGATCAATAGACCTTTTTGCCGTATGAGTACACGTTACCCAGGGTGCACCACGTGGAGGTAAGTCTATAGCGCACCCCAGTGTGTCTTTGAAAGTAGTATGGGGAAAGCGATAGCATAATAAATCGTCTGAACCAAAATGCCGTTTTGGCTAACTTCCCTGACATCATCCTGACAAATACTTGATTGACAATTGTTCACATTTCACCGCGAACGCTTTTAATTTTCTATTGTTAGAAAGAGACTATTTTGGCCCGTTTCACTCAAATATATTCTTCGTTTGAAAAAAAAACTTTCTAAAGCGTGGTCTGAAGTAATTGAGCCGAAAATTGTAATACCTTGCTTCAAAATTTACTTGATGGTTTAATTTACAACGTTAAAACCAAATTTAACCGAAATCATGATGGAATCATATTTGGTAAGGAATGGTGGCTTTCAAGTTGTCATATCGGTTTTCAGGTTAATATGTGATTTCTATCATACCAGAGACCACGATATTTCTATTCAAAACCTCGCTTCCATTTTTTCACTTTTTAACCAATTTGTTAGCACATTTTTAAGTCTTTGAATCCATTCTCAGCATTATCACTTTATCCCTTATTACCTAACTTAGTTGGATCGAAACTTTTAGCAATATTTCCAAAAAAGGTATTATGATATGACACATAAGATCAACTTCAATCCTTCGATTGCTCTACCAGACGGAGTTCAACTTTTCCATTCATTTGAATCGATGGAAATATACTTAACTGTGCTTTTGAGGGCTAGAAGGTAGAAGTGACTAAAGGAAGATAGTTAATTTGACTTTGGCAAATTTTGTTTTTCACTTCAAAACTTAGCGCCTAGACCAACTGTTGCTGGATGTTTGCATTAGTCAAGAACATAAAGAAAAGGTTTTGTTATTTCTAGTAAATTTTAAGTAAGTTGCACTACCTTAGTTACTGTAGACTTGTGTAGCAACACCCACTTTGTCATAAACCTTACATACTAATTTTCTTATCATTTTTTGTAAAGCCGAGCTGTGCTGGCACCTGTTTCCGGCATTTGCTTATAAATGCTAGTAGACTTGGTATTTAAGTTAACCGCGTTATAAATTGATCCAATTAGACACCCTCGACTATTCCTCCGTTCCTAATAGCCTCGCCTTCTCTTTTATTGTAAACAAAGTATTTTTGGAGACCAAAAGTCGATACACCTAAATAAGAAATGAATCTATAACACTGATTTACATTTATGGGATGCATGATAGATTTGAATCTACGAGATACACCCTGGGAAATGTATACTCATAGTCAAAATAGTCTAAAAACCGGCAGTTGACTTCTGACTACAAACTACCATGCCCCGACTTCATCTTATATTTGACCACCTCCACCTTTTTTCTCTACCTTTGTATCTGTCACTCTTACATCTATGAATCACTCTTCTGTTCCTCCTCTCGAGTTTTTGTGACTTTGTTCCTCCCCTCTGTGAAGCCCGAAGTCAACTAAAGTGCTGATGATAACTATGATAAAGCCTACCATTTGGTAATAAATAAATTTGCGTCTATGGTTAATTTTGTACATATCACCTTTGGACAAGGAAATGCTACATGAGAAAATGATGAAATAGGCCAATTAGGACATTATTGTGGAGAAGTTGTTGAAGTGAAGTGAAGATAAAATTAAAATAGTTTTAGTTTCCCTAATTTGAAGGATTGATTTTACAATCTCGGCAAAATTGTCTCTCTCTCCCTCTCTCTTATATGGCAAGAACAACT